TGCTGGCTGGGGAATTCTGGGAGTTGAAGTCCACCCATCTTAACGTTGCCAAGGTTGAGAAGCACTGCAGTAACCAGTAACTTGTGGTTTTGTTGCTTTCCGTCCGGATTCTGCAAGTTTGAACACTAACTAAGCCAAAGGGGGAAAAAACCCAAAGCCTTGTAGGAACGTGGTATCCGTGAGGTGTTGCACGAATAAATAAAATCATGCAACCTCATCACGTACAAAAATAAGGTACAACTTCTCTTGCAAACTTTAAGAAAGTGTTAATGCACCTCTCTGCCAAAATTAGAGGTAGGAAAGAATTTGCTCTGGGAAAAAAATCCTTTCTATCTCGACTTTCTCACTTCTGACTTCACTGTTTCTCATATATTAATGCTTGCTTAAATGTAGGTGCAAATGGTTTCGTGGTTTCCACCTTTGAAGGCCACAATATCTCAAAATGTTTTGCTTAGTTTATACTGTATCTCTTCAGTATTATCTTATCTTACGATATTTGCTTTCTGTAGTGCACGGGGTGGGAAAGAGTGCAGCGCTTCTCACAGTAGAGCATCTGGCTATTAGAATAAACTAATCTGCATCAACTATCTGCAGGAGAGCCCAAAGCTGTCTTTAGAGACAAATACTAGTAAAATCAGTAGTATGTGCCTATTCAACTGAAGCAGGGCTTCTGGATTTCTAGGTATCGGTGAAACACTTTTGCTCAGTTCAAAACATGCTAAAAAGAAAGCCACAAGCTTAGAGACAGCCAGGCTGCCCAGGAGCAACCGTAAGTATATATTTTCACCACAGTGAGTCATATCTGATAGTATTTGCTGGCTTAGAGCAGTGTTTTTCAAAATGGCAACCTTAAGAGGTGTGGACTTCGACTCCCAGAATTCCCCAGCCAGCTGGGGAATTGAAGTCCACACCTCTTAAGGTTGCCAAGTTTGAAAAACACAGAGGACCGTGAAGAGCCTTTTCTGAACTATATATGTATGTTAGAAAATAATAATCATAAATGAAGTCTTGGCTTTAGGGGAGGGGATGTATCCTCAAGTACTTCAAAGAATTAAAAGCTTAAATATATGTGGGTGTCTTTGGGAAGGATCATGCATTTTCTCTCATTTATGCAGAGCAGAGAGTGAATATTAAAATTGGTTCCCCCCTCCCCAACAGCTAGTATTGGCTAAACTAAATATCCAGAAATATATCTTTGCATAGCAGATCTTTATTTAAATTCATTTCCTGGCATTTGAGGTTTGGACTTTTCAGAATAATTTTATCTTGCAATGTGGCAATTTATTAAGAACATATTTATCACTGCTGTTCTATGTAGATTTTCTGTGTTCTCATTCCCTGTATGTAGGGTGTTGCAGGCCATCCCTATCTCCTTCCTGCCCTCACCAGTGGGTTTTTTTTTAATTAAGTCTTTTTTATAAGCACATTAATATCTGCTTAAACACTTTTTGTACATTAGTTTTGGATAAGGTGCAGAATTTTCTGCCACAGATGGCTAGTGCAAATAATCAGCTGAAAAGAGAAATGGACAGCAGGCCTGGCCGAGAGTTTGACATTGAACATGTAGATCCTTCGATGGAAAACATAATTGAAATGGTGAATATATTTTTTTTCTAATTAATGCCTAGGCATGGAGCATTATACTCTGTTTATGGTGCACCAAAAGAAGAATAACTTCCTGTTATTCTTTAGTGTCTATACCTCTTCAAAAACTGTACAATAATACAATAGTATCTGGATTTTATCAGTTTTTTTGTTGAAATTGACTTTTGTGCTGTGATTGAAGTAATTTTTCATTTATTTATGAAATTTATCTGACCCTCTGAAACCAGCCAGAACACTAGGTGGCTTACATAGTTTAAGTATTAAAAACAGAATACAAATTAAAAAATAAAATAAAATCATGACTAAAATTACAAAGCTAAAAAATGTATAAAAGTCGCATTGCTATACAGCAGTCCCCCAGAACCCACCTGAAAAGCCATATTTTCAGGAGGCCAAGGGGATGGGGTCATAAAGTTTTCCAGTTAAGCGCATAAAAGCTCTTGAGGCAAAAGCTGGAGAGCAATTTTAAGGAAAGTGTCAGAGCAGCTTTTTTTCCCTTGATGCATTCCAGATGTCCAAGGGCTGTATCGCTCAGAATTCCCCCTCAGCCTGATCAGGGACAAGCTTTGCTAAAAACTCTGCATGTAATACACCAGATACCCCAGAAGAGCCCCAGATTTGGGAGGATTGCTATAGCACCTTCTGACATTGAAGACAGCATTCAACTACATTGTCTCCAAGGTTTCTTCAAACACTGATATTACATTGCTTGTTCACTGAGGTGGCCAACTCATGCCCAGAAGACTCGCCTAAGCAGCATTAATTAATTAATTATTAATAATATTATAATTTAATAATTAATAAATTAATTTCTATGGCCGATCATCTTAAATAGATAACTCAGGATGGAAAGTAATCCATTTACCCAAACCAATATAAACAGAACCCCATAATCAAAGTTTTAAAAAATCCAATACAAAGAAAAACTGAGGCACCATGTTTCAGTTCATCAAACACCATGTGTATATTGGGTTCCCTTAACACCTTGGACCTAACACTTTGGGAAAAGTCTGATCATTATGGCCTTCTGGAAGGTCAAGAGGATCAGGAAAGGCTACTCCATAGGACAGGGGCCAAGATAGAGAAGGCCCACCTCCTCAGTCCTGCAAGATGACATTTTAATAAAGGGGTCTGGAGCATGCCTCCCTATTAGATTTGGTGGGATGGGTAGAAACTTGTGGAGATAGTTTATGAACTGATGTTGATACTTTCTAAGTCTAAGATAATAGTCATTGAAGCTAGAAATTGAGAGTTTTTGATTTCTTAGTTCAGCACTAAAATTGATGTTCGTTTACACTTTTATTCTGCACTTAATAGTATCTTATTTTCGTTATTAAATTGTTGCAGAATGTGGCCTTAGTGGAACTGAATGACTCTGATACAACAGAATCAGAAGATGATTCAGAATGTGAGGACAGCTCTATCTGTGAAGAAGTTACAGAAGAAAATATTAAGCTTCCTTTACCAAAAAGAGAAGGCCGAATAGAAATTTTGGATAGTAAAAAATGAGGTGAATTAGCCTTATTTTGCTGTCCATTTCAATATCTGACATGTAATCCTCATTTTTTTCAAGGCCTCTCGGAATGTTGGGCTATGTATTAATAAGCTTATTTTATGCACTTCATATTTTGAGAGCTGTAGAAAATCTTTCTGCAGGTGTGGTATCAAGTCAGAAGAAATTGATGAGGATCCCATCTGTAAAATGGAGGGAAAAACAGAAAGAATAATTGGATTAGACAGAAACAGAAGAGCCAATCTGAAGATAGCTATGGACTATTTATGTTTTAATGTTTAATAACATTTGATAATACCAGTTCTTGGATTACATAGAGATGAGTGAAAATGCCTCTGGAACAAAAGGTCATTTACTCTATATTGTTCCAGTTCCAGAGTATGTGGATTGGTGACCAACTGTTATATGTTATGGCTAGTGGCGTCTTGAAGAACTTGTAAGGTGTTTCAGTTATAGTTCTAACCTGGAAATGGGGAGCTAGTTGCCTTCGGTCTACATTCCTAACTCCCAGGTCTGGTTGGGATTGATGCTGATTTGTTTTTAAAAATCCAAGACAAAAAACCCTGAGGCACCATGTTTCAATTTGCCAAACACCCATGTGCATATTGGGTTCCCTTAACACCTTAGACCTGACACTTTGAGAAAAGTCTGATCTCTATGGCTTTTTTGACATAGATTACTCACCTTGCATGAACTGTACTTTAATATAAAAGTGAACGAGAATTGTGTTAGATTGAGAGAGATGTTTGTGGGTAAGCAGCATTCATAACTGAGTATGAGCTATGCTGTTGGGAATCCAGTGTATTTTTAATGTCCAAAACATGTACAAATCAGATTGAGAGTTGTTAATCCCAGCCAGTATGGTTGATGATGCAGGATGCCAGGATATTAAACAATATCTGGAGGATCATTGGTTCTCCTTACGTGGTTTAAATGCTAAGATTACAAAACAACTGTCTGTCCTAAGACTTCAAATTCTTAATCCGAGTTTTCTACAATGAAAAAGGGTTAATGGCTAGGATGTTCAGTATTTACTTTATACTGTAAAAGGCATTAACTTGCAAAATGAATGCAAATTTGAACTGAAATTAGTTATATTTTTATTTTTATGGACAATTTGTTAGGTTTATGCATTCTTACCAGAGCATACATTCCACTGAATAAGGAGGTCTGATTTCTGAATAAATAGTATTTGAGTTGTTATTGCTTACTTGAAAATGGAGTTGAATACAAATCAGGAATGTTTGACATGAAAAGTCAAATAGGCTGAACATTCTAGAAGCAGCAACTATTAATAGCCCCATACTGTATATGGTAGATTATGGTCCATAACCTTCAATTAAGAGGACCATCTTGCAATGAATAGATTTGGGTTGATAATAATAAGTGTAATATATAAATGTAAAAAATAAAATTTAGGTACATTTGCTCTAAAGTTTTCTAGGTGCTTTGTGAAAAATTGATAAATCGGAATAAGCAATGTAATGTCATTACATTTTATTTCTCAATGACAGAGGAAGAACTGTTCTAGATTACACCATAACCCACTGAGTTCTGCTTTATGTTTTCCATAGTATATTCCTGGAAAGCCCACATGCAAGATACAAATGGCAAACTATCTTTCTGCTAATATTTCTGTTTTGAGATAGACGCTAGTCTTATCTTTCTGTTCACTATGTTTTATACTACAATGGTTGTTTTCAATAAATAAATAAATATAGTCGTGTGAAAAGAAAGTACACCGTCTTTGAGTTCTATGGTTTTATGTATCATGTCATAATAAGAATCATCTGGTCCTTAGCAGTTCTCAAAAGTA